CTCAAGCCAGACCTGGCCCTGGGCCTGGGCTGCTCAGGAGCTGCTCTGCACCTCTGCCCTTTTCCACCTGTCCGGTCTGGGGGGTCCTCACCAGTTTCAGGTAGAGTTCCACGTCCTTATCCTTCAAGGAGGAGTACACCTTTTCCATCTTGTAGGTGATGCCACACTGGGAGTCATCCAGGCTCTTGATGAAGTTGTCCCGGATCTCAGCCATGAGGTTGGTGAAGCAGAAAAAGGTGTCTGCCTCAGCATGCTCTGGAAAGATGCAGGGTGCACAGAAGTGGCATGCATGGGGCCCACCCCGCCACCTACTTCATTGAAATCTGGCCCCTCTGAGCACCCCCAAATTGCCCTTCCCTCATGGTCAGGCTGTCCTTCCTCTGGCCTGGACCACTCTCCACTCCCAGACTAAGGAAATCATTGTTTTCTTCTCACATCTGGCAATGCTGTACACTCACTTAGCAATTTATTAGATGCTCTCCTGATGACATTTTTCACGCAGGAAGGTAAGCTTCCTGTATGCACATCTCATCTCCTCTACCAGAAATTAAGTTACAAGTATCAAAAGATCAGTAAACATCCAACATCGGAGCCACAAGGATCTTATCCAGGCCAAACTCTCAAGTGACAGGGAGAGTGGAGGCCCAAGAGGGGAAGTGAGCTGCACAGTCGGATCCAGCCCTCCAGCCTGCTTGCCTCAGTCCATTTTTCTAGGAGCCAGCAAGGAGGGATGTGGGCAGCCCAGGGCCTTTTTACCTTTCCACTCACTGTTGGGGTCGGTGGCAAAGGTATAGTAGAGGGGCCCGACGATCTCATTCATGCCCTGCACATAAGCAATGCCAGGGTTGAGCTTGGCGTAGATGAACAGGATCCGCTCCACCACCTCCCAGTGGGCCTCGCAGCCGTTGGGCAGCACCTCATACTCATGCAGGGACGATGATGCAGCAGTCTTGTGCGGGGAGCTCATCTGGGGAGCAGAGGAGGAGCCCATCAGGAAGGACAATGTGTCTTGCCAGGAATATTTACCATTAAGCCTGGACTTAACTTCCAGCTTAGGGAAAATATAAGACATAAAGGAACCTGTCAATCACCATAATGAGGAAACAAGTAGACAATTCCAGAATATGGGGCATCGTACGGGACAATAGTACTAAGGTCTAATTCATGGTGGTAAAAGCCAGAACAGCAGTTAGCTCTGAGGCAAAGGGTACTGACAGGGAAAGGGCACGAAGGAACCTTCTGGATGATGGAAATTTTTTTTTTTTTTCTTTTTTCTTTTGCTTTAGTTTGACTTGCAGCAACTGTGGCCTGGTAAGATGGAAATGTTCTGTATCTTGACTTTGGTGGTTACAAAGGTATATACACAATAAAATTTATCTAGTTGTATATATACATTTTACTGTATGTAACTTACAGTTCATTTTAAAACCTTTAAATATGTCAAAAACATATGACTGCACAAAACTTTTTAAAAAGTCACTTTGTTTGGGGGGCAAGGGAGAGACATCATGAGACTAAAGAAACATAACATTCCAATGCAAGGCATAAACCTTGATTGGATCCTGGTTTAGAACAAAACAATAAAGATACTCTTGGTACAAGTGAGGAGAACATCTCAATTGATCACGGGCTGGATGTGAGATGATGTTATGGAATTACTGTTGATCTTCGTAGATGTGCTATCAGATGCCTGCTGAAGTACTTGGGGGTGAAGGGTCAGACAACTGCAACTTACTCTCTCCAAATATGATGCACACAAATAAAGCAACATGGCAAAATGTTAACAACTGTTACATTTAGATGGAAAGTATACAGATGTGCACTGTACTCTTCTTTCAACTTTTCTGAATGTTTGGAAATTTTCCTAAGCAAAGGTTAGAAGCTATGGATGCAGGCACTTTGTGGTGGTAATAAAATTTAAAAGGAAAAAAAATTAAAAAAAAAAGAAAAGGTTAGAAGATAAAGAGATGACGATCCCTCCTAAAGGTCAGGCATGGTGGCTCATGCCTGTAATCTCAGCACTTTGGGAGTCCAAGGCAGGAGGATTGCTCGAGGCCAAGAGTTTGAGATCAGCCTGGGCAAAATAGTGAGATACTGTCTCTATAAAAAAATTTTTAAATTAGGGGGTGTGGTGGCGTGTGCCTGTAGCCCAAGCTACTCAGGAGGCTGAGGCAGGAAGATCATTTGAGCCCAGGAGTTCAAGGTTACAGTGAGCTATGATAGTGCCACTATACTCCAGCCTGGGCGATGTCCCCAATACCAGTTGCCCCTCAGGATCCCCTGAACTTTGTAAAGATTCAGGTGCCTGGGCTCCCTAAACCTACTCAATCAGCAGCCCCAGCAGTGGGGGCAACCCAGGCAGAGAGAGTTTATGAAGCTGTGCTGGCAGCGCAGGGTCCCGAGCACATTAAACTCCCTCTCCCATTACACACACACACACACACACACACACACGTATGCATAAACACACGTATACGTGTTTATATGCACACATCTCAATAACATTTACTGAGAGCTTTCTATGTATCAGACAGTGTTGTGCAAACATTCCTCCATAAATAACCCCCTGAACAACCTAGAATATTCTCTCAACATCATTTTCAAGATGAGGAAACAGGCTCAGAAATGTTAGGTCACCCATGTCTCACACTAAGTGATGGCACTGGGACTTGAACCCAGACGGGCTGACTCCAGAACCAGGCCTCTAGGGCAGGCTGCCACTCAGGGATGCCCAGAGCTTTCTGCTTTCTAAGAATCTGCACAGCCATGACCTCATTTCATCCTCCTGGCAACTGAAAAGCCAGGCCGGGCAGAAATGATCATGCCCAGTTTATGTGAAGAGGAAACAGAGGCCCAGGAACATGAGCCAGTATTACTTCCTGGCGTCGCACAGATGGTCAACTTTAACTCAAACCACCCAACCACAGGCCCAGAGGTCTAGGGATGAAGTTTCTGGTGGGTTCTCTGCCACCAGGACCAGTTCCAAAAGTTAAAATGTGTAAGAGCTCGGCTCTCGGATCCCAGTTACTACAGTGAAAGGAATGACAGGAGCCAGTCCCCTCCGGCTCCTAAGCCAGGAAATCCGCAACCTAGCGGGCTGCCTACAAAAAGAGCCACGTGGTTATTTAAACAAGTGTTCTGTACCTCACGGCACTTCTGCTCCCAACTCTGTCATAGGCACATGGAACCCTGGGATAAGCCCCTGCCCCTGCCACCCTGTCAATGTCTTGATCCAAGTCATTCCCTTGGGGAAAAAGCCTCTGCAGTAGTATCCATCTCTAGCTTGTTAGAGGCTACAGAGAAGGGTTTTTCCATGATAGAGGACAGTGAGAAGTTTTGGGGAACAAGCCCCTGCTCCAGGTACCAAAGCAGTAGGCGTAAGTTAAGGAATATGCTCCAGGTACCAAAGCAGTAGGCGTAAGTTAAGGAATATGCTCCAGGTACCAAAGCAGTAGGCGTAAGTTAAGGAATAAGGTAATATACTTGTTTGGCTACAAGCAGCTTCTCAGAGTTACACGAATCTGCTAGAAGATTTGGGTTCAAACACCAGCATGACTTGCCCAGCACAAGTCCCACCAATTCCACCTCCTAAGGCTCTCAGATCTATGCCTGCTCCACCCCAGCCCTGGGCCCCACGACCTTGTACCTGGACAACTGCAGCTGCCTCCCAGGTGGCCTCCCCACCTCCAGTGCCCAACACAATCTTTTACAAAAGCAGACCCGAATCACCACCCTGCTGCGAATGCTGCAAGGGCTCTCCCCACCCCTCAGGACAAAGGTCCCTCATGGCCACACTGCCACCAACCTCTTTCCCCTCACTCTCTGCTTCTAGCCAAGGCCCCAGGACCTTGCACACACCATGCTCTCTCCTCTAGAGGACTTTGCATATGCCCTCCTCTCCACCTGGAATGTTCCTTCCTCTTTGTCCTTCAAGCCTTGGCTCAAACGCCACCTCCTCAGGGAAGTCTTCTCTGATACCCAGAATGGGTCAGCCCCCAGCCCATCCCACCTGCCTCACACTTCCTCACCACATTAGTAATGACATTCTGAAAGCCACTTCTGCCATAAGAACAGAAGTGTGGCTTGTTCACCATGATGCAAGGCCCTCCCCTGACAGCCCTTACACCAGCTGGAGGGCAATGAACCTTTGAGGCCCAGAGGTGGACCTGGCAGGACCAAAGTTGTTTTGGGTAACTGTCAGGGCAGATGGTTTTGGGCCTGGCACCAGTGGTCCACGGGAGGCAGGAAGGAGAAGACTATTAGAGGAGTCCCTGGGGGCCCCAGGTTGGCTCACGTTTGTAACCCCGCTCCGGTTCCGGGCCACTGTCTGGGATTTCAGCGTTGTCTGTTCCACTCGCTTACGAAGGGTCTCAAATTCATTCTGAGGGTCCAGGATGAGGAGGCAGGGGTACTCGGTGGCCCTCTGAAAGAAGGATATGTCTGGGCACAACCTCCTGTCAAGAGGGAACAGGAGAGAATCCTGTTACTCAGGATGTTTTTGGCTATTCCATCAGCGCCCTGCTGCTAGGAGACTCCAAGCGTCCCCCAAAGCATCATTTTTGGGGTGTTTTTTTTAGAAAGGGAGTGCCTGGGTCTGTTCGTCCAAACACTGTTGAAGCAAGAGACAGATCCACAGGACCACTGAATGCGCTGCCTGTTTTGGGGTTTTTTTTTTTGTTTTTTTTTGGTTTTTTTTTGAGACAAAGTCTTACTCTTTTGCCCGGGCTAGAGTGAGTGCCATGGCATCAGCCCAGCTCACAGCAACCTCAAACTCCTAGGCTCAAGCGATCCTACTGCCTCAGCCTCCCGAGTAGCTGGGACTACAGGCATGCGCCACCATGCCCGGCTAATTTTTTTCTATATTTTTAGTTGTCCGATTAATTTCTTTCTATTTTTAGTAGAGACGGGGTCTCGCTCTTGCTCAGGCTGGTTTCGAACACCTGAGCTCAAACAATCTGCCCGCCTCGGCCTCCCAGAGTGCTAGGATTACAGGCGTGAGCCACCATGCCGGCCGGGGGTTTTTAATTATTATTTTACATATTAATGGAAGTTCTCCATGCCCACCCTGGTTTGTTTTCGGTTTTTTTTTTTTTTTTTTTGGAGACAGAGTCTCACTCTGTGGCGCAGGCTAGAGTGCAGCAGCATCAGCCTAGCTCACAAAAATCTGTTTTTAATTATAACATTGTTTTTTCTTTCTTATCCCCTATGGACCTCAGGATGGGCATAATTATAACATTTTATTTAAAAACAATATAAGGCCAGGCATGGTGGCTCAAGCCTATAATCCTAGCACTTTGGGAGGCCAAGGTGGGAGGATTGTTCAAGGAGGCCAGGAGTTCAAGACCAGCCTAAGCAAGAGTGAGAACCCATCTCTACAAAAAATACCAAAGTTAGCCAGGCGTGGTGGTGCATGCCTATAGTGCCAGGTACTGGAGAGGCTGAGCCAGGAGGATCACTTGAGCCCAGGAGTTTGAGGTTGCTGTGAGCTACCCTGACACCACCGCACTCTAGCCCAGGAGGCAGAGCAAGACCCTGTCTCCAAAAAAAAACAAAAAAAAAAAAGTCATTATATATGTATAGTACCCATATTTTATGTGCATTTCCAAATAGATATGCACGCATTTTTTTAAGTGTCTTTATGGTCAAACAACCTAACTCTTCTCTTCAACCACAAACATCTTTCAATGTCAAAAAACATTTAACTAGTATGCACAAGGCTATCAACTGTTGTGCTATTTGAAGTAGTGAAAGAGGTTTGGTTAAGTAAGTTATATACTATACAAGAGAATATTATATAGCTGACATGGAGAGATGTCCAAGGCAGAGTAAGAGAAAAAATAACTTGGGAGACAGTCTCTGGAATGTGATGTAGTTTTTAAATTAGATGTATTGTAGCATATGCACATTTTGCAGACTTCTTAGACATGGCACATTGCAAACCTGCCCTCTAGAAATACTGAAGGTCGTGCTACGATCACTACCAGTGTAAGACAGAAGCCGCTCTCCTGGGTCAATATGTGGTTCCTGACTTAAATGTGGCCATCAGAACACCTTGTGGCAGAGCCCCCTTTCTCCTGCAGCCTGGCCGCGCCACCCAGTGCTGGGGTCCCCTGCGGCTATCTTCAGATGTACCTGGGCAGGGGAGCAGCACCCAGGGTGGTGAGGGTGAGGAGGACCTTCCCCTCAACTTTCCCCTGCCACGCATCTTCTTCCCAAGCTGCAGGGCACTCTCACATGCTGGTCCTCAGCCCAGCTCACTGCCTCACCGCCTCCTCCTCTTCCTTCATGTCTCGTGCTGAGTCACCTCCTTAGAAAGGCTTTTCCCGACCTCCCAGTGCAAACAGGGCCCCCCTTTTATTCTCTCAGAGCATCAGTTTTTCCTTCTGTAACAGCATTTACAGTATTTCGAACTACATATATGTTTCTGGGTTTAGTATCTGTCTCCTCACTTACACTGGAAGCTCTCCGAGAGCAGAGACCCTTTCAGTCTTGCTTACCCCTAGACCTTTACTCACACGGGCGCTCAGCAATTCCTTGAGAAGCAGCCAAATGAAGGTGCACCTGGCCTTGCAGACCAACTTGGGCACCCGAGAGCTGCCCCTTGGAAGTGCTAAAGAGTCACTGTGTGGGACAGACAGCCAGCTTGTCCTGTCTGACCAAGGAAAGTGCCGGAGGAGGATTCAGGCAGGCTGCGGTAAGTGCAACAGGACAAGTTCCCAGAACCCTTCCTAATGGAGAGCTGATGCTTTTAAGGGCTTCCGCGTTGTGCTAACACTAGCACAACAGTTCCATTTATACGTGGAGACCCAGGCCTCACTCTATGCCCTTAACTTGAACCATCTTGCTCCTACTTTACAGATATAAAGAGTAACGCTCAGAAAGCCTGAGTCACTTGCCTAGGTCACACAGCTAACAAGTCCCACCTTTGTGGGACTGAAACCGGGCAAATGGACTCCAGAACCCAGGCTCTCAGCCACTCCACCACCCTGCAGACAAGACCTTCCCTCTAGCTCCTCGACCAGCCTTATGGAGATCCCACATGCTGCCAGACTCCCAGCCCAGCAGGGCAGCAGAGCCAGCACTTCCACATTTCTTTATCAAGTGGAAGAGCAGGCACACATTGTAGCTCACGATTTTACAACACACGTATCTGACCGTGTCACTCCCTTGCTCAAAGCCTTTGCAAGACTGCCCCATGCCCCTGGGATCAGGCCCGAGGTCCAGCCCCTGCCTCATACCCTGGCTCTTACATTGTGCCTTGAATGCGCCAAGCTCTGTGGGCTCTCCAGGGCTTCCCAAAGACAGCTCCCACCCGCAACAGCCTCTTCCTCTTTCCTGAGGCCTCTGACTTCTCAGATGGCAGCGGACACACTGTTTTCTCAGGCCAGGCCTCCCCCAACCCCTTGAACTTTACGTCAGAGCATTTACCATGAGTGCTAAGTGCAGGTAAGATCTAACTGGTCGAATGTCTGTCTTGCCATCTTTCCCTCTAGGTTCTAAGCTACTTAAGGGGAAGGACCACGCCTGTCTATTCAGCACTGAACCCTGAGCTTAGCACTGTATACAGCCAGGGCTCAATACTTGTTGAATGAATGATCAGATGAGTCCATAAACACCCAGGACACAAACGAAACTAAAGTGTGAATTAGGAGAGCTGGGCACAGCGAGCAGCGCTCCACCCACGCACTTCCCCTGACAGCCCATTCTCAGGCCCATTATCAATGGCACCTGGACCCAGAGGGACAATCCACACACACCTTGTACACCTGGGCTGCAAAAGGAAAGGACAGAGCTGGAGAAACCCCCAGAAGTCCCGCGGGTCAGCCCCCAGCCCCTAGGTGCCCTGCCTACCGGACATCCTTGTCGATTTGCAGCAGCACCTCATTGTCCTTGAAGTACGTGTTCCACCGGCTGTCGGGGCTGGGGTTGAGTGGCTGTCGGGGGAGAAGATGCTTCATTCCCGGCACAGCTAGAACCCAAGGACCGAGTCTACCCTGGAGGCCTGAGCAGTGGCCTTTCCCAACAATCCCGCCACACACCCAGCTGCAGCCCTGAGACAGCCTGCAAGCTGCTCAAAGGAGACGGTACAGGACTCCCCACAGCCTCCCAAACCCCACTCAAACCCCACAGCCGGCAGCTGAGCCGGCAGTCTGCTCTGAGTCTATCCCTGATGGGCGGGGACTCTGTTCTTTCTGTTCCCTGCCCTAGCTCTAGAACTCTGTGTGTAACAGGTGCTCGCTACGTGCTTATTGAATGAATGAATGATATATCATTAGGTTTCTTCAACTCTCATTTATCAATGCTTTGAGTCATCAATTCCTATCTTTGGAGGACGGGCCTAGGGTCAATCCATTTCCATGTCCTGCAATGTGACGCACACGGGAGGAGTTCAGCTTTTGCAGAAAGAACAGGTTTCTTCCAGGCCACAGAAAGGCAGTTTGTCTCCGCTCCTGCCTTGCTCTGACTTCCTTCAACTATACCATCATAGGACCTGCCTCAAGGAAGGGGGATGAGGGTAGAAGGAGACCTTGCTCTTGGAGCACCCGCAGCAGGGCTGCCCCCAGCACTCCCTGGACATGGGCCATCATTTATATACTGACTGGGCCTGAGGAGGAGTGGGAGAGACAACTGTCTTCAGGGGCTGAGCAACCAAACGCAGAAAGAGGGTCTGGAAGGTCCAGAAGGAGCCGATGCCAGGCTGCTGAACTCATCCATGGCGCGGGGGTGCCTGGCCTGCTCAAAAGGCCCCACCCCTCCTCATTCACTATCCTCGGTCTCTGATGCCGGCCCTTACTCACGTGGTCCTCAAAGGTCACATCCTCCCTGGACACACCCATGTTGGCCTTGGCAATGCCAGGCTGGATGATCATTTCCCTCAGGAACTGAGAGTACAGCTCCCTGTGGAGAGGAGGAAGAGGGATGGTTCCCAAAGATCTTGCTCAGGGAGCCCAGCCCAGACCAGAGAAGCAGCAACAGGAGGCAACTCAGTCTCAGCACCACCAGCTCTGTCTGATGCAAAGGCCCTCCCGCCATCACCCTTCCACAGGGCCTCACCTCTGCTTGGCCAGGATGGAGGTCCATGAGGCTCTCTCCAAGGGGAGGTAGTTCAGGAGAATCTGCACAAAGGGAGAGGGGCTAAGCTCTGGTGACAACTACCCTAACCTTGGACAATAGGTGGAGGCTGACAGGCCTCAAGGAAAAGGTCTCATAAAGCCCAGAGAAGATGAGACGTGCTGGAACCCAGGAACATCCACACGAACCAGGGCTAGTCCCCGCTTTTCCTCTCCCCTGCCTCCCTTCCCCTTTATTCTAAACCAGCCCTTTCCTCCGCTTTTCCTCACACACTCTTTCAAATGATTGAAACGACAGCACCAACACCACCACTTGTGCTCAAAGGGGCTAGAAACCAGGATACTGGGTTTCCACTGTCACCTCAGCTGACAGCTTTGTGGAAAGCACAGCCTTTGTTTTGTCCCAGTAAGCATCACTTCTGCTGGTATGGACCAGGAAGCAGAGGTCTTCACCAGCATTAGAAAGTGTCCCATCTCCAAGGAGATCCTGGAGGGGACACCAAGAGGAACAGAAAACCCAGAACTTCCCAGAAAAGCTTCTTCAGACAAGCAAGGAAAGGTGCAGAACAGGAGGAAGAGGCCAGGGAGGGGATAGCCCATGCAGGAACCCAGGGACTCTCAGCAGAGCAGAAGCCCCACCCCAGGCACACCCACCTTCCAGCAGAGGCACCGCAGTCCGCCCTCACAGGGGATGCCTGTGGACACAGCAGGCAAAGGTCACGCCCCAGGCCGGAGTCCCAGAACCCCCCAGCCCTTCACCTGGGAGACAGCTGGCAGGGAGTGAAGTAGGCAAGAAATATTTCTTCAGGGATCATTTGCTGTCAGAAAGATTACTAGACTGGAAGCTAGTTCTGTGTGTAATTTCTGACCACGGCCCCAGGCCCCAGCCCAAAGTTCCCTCTGTCTAGAACATTTTTTTGAGGACAACACCTTCTCATCAGTCTCATCCTTGATATTCTTTCCTCAGAGCAGCCTTTACCAACCACCATCTCTTCCCAACCAAAGTCAGGTCTCCCTCTTATAAACAATAATGGCTCTGTGACTTCTTCATAGACTCTATCACAACTAGAATTATATAATATACTTTGTGTATTTACTTAACATCTGTAACCCCTACTACTGGGTAAGCCCCAGAAAGACAACATCTGTCTATATTATTCCCGGTGCCTAGCACAGGGTATGGCGAGCAAAAGATATTCTCTAAGTATTTGTGGAATATAAACTAAGCTACTAATGCTAAGTGCTTTGTGCTTTATAGACATTATTTCACTTAATCCTCAGTATAATCCCATCAGCATCATCATTCTCATCTTATAGATAAGGAAATTTATCTATAAAGACAGAGCAACCAAGGACTCAACACGGGTCTGAATCTAAAGCCCAAACTCTTAACCACTGACACAGACTGCCTTCCCTTCCAGGCCTACATACTACTCCTGAACAGAAAGACAAACTTGTCCTGCAACATTGTCAGGAACCTTGCTAGAGCAATATCCCTGGCCCTGTGAACATGAGCTAATGCCCCCCACTCAGAATGGCAGGGATAATGAAAGAACTTCTTGTTGGCAAAGTTACAGGGGTAGGGTAGTGACAAGAAGCTACATGGAACACCTTGGGGTATTTTTAAACACAAGCAAAAAGCAGATAATTGGCTGGGCACAGTGGCTCATGCCTGTAATCCTAGCACTCTGGGAGGCCGAGGCGGGAGGATTGCTTGAGCTCAGGAGTTCGAGAACAGCCTGAGCAAGAGCGAGACCCCGTCTCTACCATAAATAGCTGCCAAACAACTAAAAATAGAAAAAATTAGCCAGGCACAGTGACGCATGCCTGTAGTCCCAGCTACCTGGGAAGCTGAGGCAGGAGGATCGCTTGAGCCCAGGAATTTGAGGTTGCTGTGAGCTAGGCTGACGCCACAGCACTCTAGCCCAGGCAAGAGAGTGAGACTCTGTCTCAATTAAAAAAAAAAAAAGCAGATAATTAACCATGCCAGGGAGGGCAAAGTCAAACACTGCTTAGGACCAGCTTCTTTAAAGTCAGTGTCCCAAGGCTGAAATTTTGCGATTAAGCAAAATTTACTGTCACCTCAGCTTAGATCCCAAGCCAAGGAGAGAACCAGGAACCACCTTGCAGCTAATGGAATTCCACAACATGGGAAGCTAGCTGAGCAATGAGGAAAGGCCTGACCTAGGCTCAAAAGGTCACTCCCCGCTCTCATTCTCCCATTTCCAGTCCTCTCCAGTTACTCTCGGGAACCTGGTGCCTCCTGTCTAAGGCCTAAAGGTATGCTAACTGTGGCCACAACTCCTCTGGGAAACCTCTCCAAGCTCAGGATGGTCACTGCTTGTTCAGCGCTCCAGAACCTGGAGAAGGCCTCAGGAGTCAGGCTGGCCCCTATAACTGACCAGGTGTGGCCCTCAGCACCTTCTCCTCCAGCCCAGCCACAAGGCTCTCTAGGGAAACCCTGAAAATGCAGAGTTGCCTCTTACCACTAAAACTGAGTTCTCGAAGCTTTTCCAATGCAATTGAGGGCTCCTTCAGGACATCCTGGAAATCTGCAATCCTGGAAGTAGGGAGAAGGCAAATGAAGCACACTCAAACCCTAAGGTGACAGGCTTAGTGACTGAGCCTGCTGCCCACAGCTCCCTCACACCTCCAGTCTCCAACCTGTCCCTCCTTCCCCTTCAGGGCATAAAAACCCAAAGCTCATTCAAGGTCCTCACCAAAAGCAGCTCTGGGGAACAACAGATCTATAGAGCAATTCTTCCGCTAAGCTCAGAAACAGAATGCCAGTGAAGAAACTTGAGATATTATCTAGAGGTTCTCAAGTGAGCATCCTAAAATTAGACACATTTTGATATTTAGTGAGCTGACATTTACTGGGCACTTCTATCGGCCAGGCCCGGCCCACAGCACAGCCACGACCTTAACTCAATGAACCCTAGGAACCCGGAGTAATTTGATCCGCAAACGATGGACCTGTGCAATCTGCACGCAGCTCTCCATGCTCACAAATATAACCATTACAAGACCTCTGGGCCTGTCCACACGGAAGGACAAAGGTTTAAAAAGCACATCCTGGAGGAAAACTGAGGAGTGAGCAAAATTTAGCCAATGTTGCAGGATCTGGCTGGGGGAGGGGGCAGATTGGAGAAAGCAAGTTCTCTAGTATTTCTACTAAGAAAAGGGCACAGGGAGCATTTGGAGAAAGGAGAGTACTGAAGCAGAGGGTTAAAAAGAGGGAAAGGGACGGGGGCGGGGCATGGAGGTCTAGATGAGGAAGACACCAGGGGAAGGGGGAAACCAGGGGTCCAGGGAGAGAGAGACAGAAGGGGTGACACCAGGGGCAGAAGAAGTGCCTCCGCTCCGTCCTCCCCCCGGCCCACAGGCAATGAGGTTAGAAAGTGGCCTCCCGATTCCTGGCCGCACCAGCGCTCCCACCCTTTGCGGGGCAGAAGGGGCGGCCTGGCCAGAAGTAGTCTGGCCGGGTCGGACCCCGTAGCCCCTTACCGGCTCTTGTGCAGACTCGACATGGTGGTGTTGACTTCCGGACCCCCAGGTGCCTCTACCTCCTGGGCCGCCGCCGCCGCCGCCGCCCTCCAGGGACGCGGAGCGCCTGGCAAAAGCCTCCGGCCGGAAACGCAGGCGCAAGCCTCAGCGTTCCGCCTTGCCCGGCCCCGCCGGCCCCTCCCCGCCCGGTCACGTGCTACCGTCTGCTCTTCGCCTACCCTTCCACCCTAACCACGTACGGCTGCTGCTGCTCGGCGGGGCTATAGGGGCTGCAGTACGCAGGCCCGTCCCGCGAACACTACGGGCCAAGTGTGAGGACCTGCCAGGGACAGCGTAGACTGTGTGTCCCTGGACTATTTCTTGCACTTCCCTGGGCCTTAGTCTCTATCTGCGCAATATACCTGTCACCCTATCTTCTTCCGTACACGTACCCCACCTGGAATTATGAATGTCGGCCTCCTCTGCAGAACTGTACAGGCCTCTGGGCTTCTCCTGTTCACTGCTGAGTCCTCAAGGACTATAGCAGTGACCAGCACTGGCCAGGTGGCTCAGCAAATACTGGATGGGGAAGCAGGACTACAATTCACTGTTTTCTTGACTTTTGGATTTCATAAACAGTAAAATTTCTGTAATTTTACCATAATTTCAGAACAATAGAAAAAGAAAGCCAAGATTTCAGAAATCCTTTTCAAGAAAAGACAGTTGGCAGCCTTAAAATGATTTTCTCTACAAATTTATGCATATGTCCATATGGTCCTTATTCTTTTAATTCTTCCACAAGTCAGTGAAAACTTTGACACTGGACTGTATAACCAACCTCTTCTGCCCTCCAGCTTTCATGTGCCTGCCGACTAAGATTTCATTTGCCCAATACAGCAGGCACACATATCAGTTCCTTCATTC